TTGCTCACAAACAACCTGCGTAGGTGCTTCTCCTGGTGCTCTGGTGTTACTCTGCATGTACTACGCAGAATATCCCAAAGATAGCACTAAAACATCTCAAGTCGTAACCAGCTTTCATGATTGGTTCATGATTGGTTCATCCCTAGCCGTATGGTCCTTTGCGTTGGCCTGGAAGGAATTTGCTAACAGATTCATCAGGTTAGTGACAAGCACATGAGAAATCAAAATATGCTGTTTGAAATATGCGTGGATGTGAAAATGTGCAGTCGCCGAGGAGCCAGATTAGCGCTTGCACTAATGTCTCTGAGATAAAACAATGGTTCGGCTGTACATCACATAGGAACCATTGAGTAAAGCTCCTTTGGAAGGATAGTGTAGAATAGTAACAGGACTGTGTGCGTACAGTTTGCTCTAATTCCAAAGTAGTTTACAGACACGTGCGCAAACTTCGTAGAGTCAGGCACGGAATTCCTGCCCTGCACACGGTATGCGGTTTAGGGTAAATGGGACAAGGAGAAGGACACGGCTCCAATGTTTACCGTCCACATATATTCATCCTACGCAGATCACACCACTGACAGGAATTAACCAAATAGGCTTTACCTCCACAGATTAACTGTAGAGTCTGACATCCATGCGTGACATTTGTTTAAAAGCACTGAAGGTGACTGTCCTAAAATTATCTGAGTCATTAGCTTGCTTTATTAAGCGACGTCTTAGTGAGACGCACATGCAGATAATGTGGAAGCAAGAGATCATCACTTCAATCTACCAAAGTGGTTACCGTGTAAAACCTTGGAACTACCGACCGGTAACTCTATTACCAGTGATATTCATGATAAAGAATTTCATTGTCTTTAAGGCAATCATTGGGTAACTGGATGGCAAAAAAATACTTGCTAAGGAGCATCATAGATTTCACTAGTCTCGGTCATGTAAAATAAATCTACCTATGACCGGTGCATGCTGCAAGACATCTATCGATGACGGTATAGAGGTAGATCGTCTGGATCGTAACATTCTACTTCAAAGACCAAGTGACATGTAACTAACGACTCCGTCCTAGGCTGGACAAACAAATTTCTCACGCACCGTCAACTGAAAGTGAGCGTTTGCAACATTTTCTCCGATCCAATCGAGGTCCATTGCTGTGTACCACTAGGCATAGCACTCGGACTACTGCTGTTCCTGGTCTTTATAAATGTACTCCTGGGAGCGTTCTCTTCAAATTTTCTACTCTCTACCGGTGATCTGAAAACATGCCCTACTACCACTACGGTTGAAGACCGCACAGTCTTGCATAATCATTTGGATGAAGTCTGCATATGCTACAGTATAGGGCATCTAAGTGCGAAGTTATGAGCATGCGCCATCGAGGCATTTATAATTGCACGCGAAGACCACACATTTTACGGTACGCTTCTTATGGGCGCTACCTCGGCGTGCTCATATAAGTTGAACTAGGCTGTTTGGTGCAGACCAAAAAGACATAAACGAAAACAATTCAGCACTTCGGCCTCTTGCATATGGCCCTTGAAACGTTCGATAACTCAAAATTTCCGCAATTGTTTAGTGCATACTTGAGGCTAAGCTTCGCAACCCTGACAAAAGCGCCACCACTTTGCTTGATCCTCAACAACGCAGAGTGAATAAATGCCAAACATGTGTCCCATACTGCCTAGTAAATTAGCCTGAAATCTCTTAGAGTCTATGGCGTACTTAAACTATACCTCATAATAGTGTATCGGAGCCTAACTAACCCAAAATGAACATACCGCCATCTTCAAAAACTCAACTAGAATACATATCTGATTGGCAATCAGTTTGGGCTTGCCACTTAATATAGTAGAATGGAATGTCGATAAAAAGTTCACTCCTTCCAAGTATCACCGTCATGAAACTCAGTTCCAGAGCACGTAATTAATTCCGCAGCATTACGACTATTCAAAAGACGACTTGGCGGCTCCCTAGCACATTTACACACGTGATATAACGAGTGACAATCAAGTGATGGCGTTAGTGTAGACCACACAGTGAATGGTATGGGCCTCTCCTTATAATTCAGATAGCATCATTCACATCCATGCTATTTCAAAACTTTCGAGAAGTCATGTATCTTTAGTGTTCTGTTATCCGCACTGTGTTCTCACCTTGCCCTTTTCACTCAAACCATCTTAGGTAGATTTGTCAATTATCTGCTACTGTACCCGTTAAAATACAATGCAGACTTGCCCTAAGTAAGAACTTCACCAGAGAAAAATGCTGTCAGTAAAACGTTTCATCATTTTGACAGAAATACAAAACCTACAATGGTACTTAAAATTGCAACTTGTGATTCGCTCCTTATTTTGCGCTCGAGATCTGAACCATCAAGTTACCATTGATTGTTTTGTTGGTTATCATCGCTGCGCAGGTTCAATTGAATGATCAACGAAGTGGTTTTTTATTGAGGGGGGCGAGATACTTATGTGCATGATTGGCGAACTAATTGCATGAAAAAAGCAGTATTATTATATGACCATCCCTAATTTTCAAAAAAAGACTTGAAACTAACTAGAAAACTCAGTCTTTGCAATACAACCGTATACTAAACTTCATTCAATGAGCCAACTGATGGATTGATCAGGAAGTTGCAATTTTGACAAAATTATTTTCACAAACGAGAAAATTCTGTTTACAACCCAACAGTGTTTGCAACTGATTCAGAGCAAGTGTCACTTACCGTCTGCTTAATTTTGATGGTACATTACACTACAAACTTAGTTGTGTGTGAGGTGTACAGCGGTTACTATACAAAAAGTCTATCATAAATAAAATTCTTTGGTTATATGAATCAGACTTTGCACACTTGTGTTTTAACCAACGATCGGTTGCGATGCTGAACTGTGGTATGAAGGACAGTTTGTTATAATGACAAATTTAGTAAACCCGACAATGGTTACCGGACTGTGTTACTTTATTCATATATTAAAGATGGTAGTTTATTGCATAAGTATCGTGTGCGTATTCGTGGTAAGTGGTGGACACTCCCGATAAAATTTTCCACTGCAAGATCCCCAAACTAGTGGTAGCATACATTTGAGAAACTATTCGTATTTTAACTCATAGTTTAGACATCTAACAATCGCAGCGAAACCGCTTAGAAAACTGACGTATGGATGATGTGTGAAAACGGGCGACACGACTGAGCCCTCTGGATTGTAATTGTTTGCAAAAGTGATGAGACAACGCATTAAGTAGCGGCATGATCTGGTCTATTTCTGCTGTCTTCCAACATTAATCTTTTAGGAACTGTGCTTGATTTCATCGAATTGTGCCCTTTGAGCCTTCGGTGATAAGTAACGAAATTTACTTCAAGTTTTGTCCATTTTCTTATTAGTGTTCTATATTCCTTAGCCCAGGATCACCTAGTTAGTGAAGTTTACCGAACATTTGCAGGCTATACATACACTTTGGAGTCAACAACTTCTGAGTAAACACGAATGCACCCTAGCAAGTAAGTGCTGTAAGTAAAGATTTCTATCGGTTGACGTGACATTTCAGGTTAAATTAAACCATACGGATATCAGCCAAAGTTTGTATCAACTACACCCGAGTTCAATTTAGCATACGCAGTCATTTTTTCTCGCTTCTGTCATCCTCAAATATTAATCGGGAAACTGAAGACATCAAAGCAATGCAGAATGTTTTTCGTAACATCTCGCCAATAGCTGAGGGGATTGTGCAACTATGGGAGTGCGAAAAGCTCATGCACACTTACTGAAGCCTATGTCTTGATATATTTTATTGCGAAATGTGTTTTGTGGTCTAAATACTTGTCAACACCGTACAAACTATCGTTTTTGGTAGATCATCTGTTTGCGCAATAGCCGAATAATTAGCGTCACAGGCATACTTACGTATCGCGAGCGCCCTTAATGTTGGCTTAGAGAGATCTTATGATCAGTTTTCTGATAAGTAGTTTGTTCGACAGTTGTTTGACATAAATCGTTGTATTTTTCAGTCAGACAAAAACTTTCATCTCTTACTCTAGGAGATATTCACTTGGGTTTTCTTGAAGTCGCTCAAGTGTTTTCAAAAAAATATCTCTGCAATTATGTAAAGTTTCGGGTAAACCATACGATTAAGTCAACATCAGTTTTATTTTAATTTTTAATAATGGACAATCTGATGTGATGCTATTATTGCTGCTCAGTTTATCATGCGGCTGATTTTCAATCGTAACTGTTCATTGTGCTTGGTGCGGCACTCTGTTCTACTTTAATCACGCACGTTTTCTTTAACCAAATGACATTCTTAATCCACCCCGTCTTGTACTCATGGTTGCCCATTCACCCAAACAGCATTCACCAGCTGGGCATGGCCAATTCTATCAACCCAACTCTCGTTAACTTCACAAGACTCGTTGCGAAATCACCAAGTTTACTGTGGTTTTCATCGTTTGTTGACTCATACTAAATAACAGAAACCATTCGGAACTAATCGTAAACTTTCTTAGCAACCAAATCACGTTGAAATACCCTCAATTTTTAGTATGTTGCAGTGACGTCGAACGGTCAATCCTCGACTCAGTTATCATGTGCAAAACCAACTAATGTGCATGCTAGCCTACAAGGTAAATCGGTTTGTGCCCCAGTCTACAACTGGGTATGTCGGGCCTCCTCAAATAACACAACTCCAAGATGGGAAGAAAAAACATTAGCAGCATTTGCGAAAACCAATTACACTTTGCTATACTTTAGCTGTGGGACCGGTGCCCCAAAATTTACAAATCAGGCAAATTGTTTGGCTTCCTTCTATTCTAGTGGCTGGTAGCTGTGTCAGATCTAGCGAAAAAATACAACTTAACTGACATTGTCACCTGGATAGCTGTCTGAATAATTAGAAAGGAGGAATGTCTTGTGGGTTATTTGATCAAATAAACGATCTCTACCTAGTGAATTTCTGTGATGAGAGTGACCAATGAGAATGTGAAGGTAAGATCTATCAGGTCATTGGCTGAAAATGGTTGCCCATCGGAATGATCGGCCGCATAGGTGCTAACCGGGCGACCTACTGAGGCATAAGTAGTTATGGAGTCAACGCCTGGAATAATACAGCTGAAGTTTGGCACACTGAAGATGCCCTACGGAATTATTTACTCAAATGGGAGTGCACTGCACAGCAACCCCTGACGTTTATTTCCCAGCAGTGCGCAAGATTTTTCTGCTGCTTGTTTTTTCCCGTGGTGTTTGGGGGAGCAATACGGAAAATGCTTTATAATGTTCAGACAGAAAAAGTTCAGTAGTTGCTGTCTATCGAATCTGCGAAGCCGCGCACCCAATGAAAAATCTGAACTAGATTTCACTGTATTATGAAAGGGCAGATGTGCCATGTATCCGGACTATCAATCCGCGGTATTCGTCATACTCCTCACAATCGTTTGGATGCCACCCATATTAGCAGTTCGTGGCTGTGTGACATATGTGGTTGGCGTAGATTACTCCATGAAACAGTCTATCTGTGATAAACCTGATACACACTTCAAGGCTGTTCCGTCTGCGCTTCCAAGTCAAGTCGTAAAGTTAACCATTAACCATCAGGAAATAACTCGTCTCAACGCCTCACAATTCAAACATTTGCCTAATTTAACCTATTTGGATATGGATTCAAATAAGTTGACTGTAATTCATCCAGATACCTTCCATCAGCTGCGATTTTTACGTACTCTAAGTCTGCGATTTAATTTGCTGACCTTGTCAGTTGAGTCGTTTCACCCGGCAGCCATGCATGGACTTACAAATTTGGAACACTTAAACCTGTTGCATAATCCGCTAGGATATATACCGAACGATATTTTTGCTTCACTCGGCACTACTTTAAAAACCTTGGTGCTCGCTGGATCTTCCGGAAATTTCCAGCTGGATTCAAATTCACTGAACGGACTACATGTGTTGCAATCCTTAGATCTTAGCTCGAATCGGTTGGAAACTCTGCCTGAGAGCTTTGAACATAGTTTAAATAGCATGCAATTGAAGGAACTTTATCTTTACGACAATCCTTGGCGATGTGACTGCCAACTTCGTTGGCTGAAATTGTGGTTCTTGAAGCATGATCCCAAGCTCGTTTTTTCAAGAACAATCCCCGAAGACATCAGTCGACGTGTTGTTGAACTCAGTCCGCATTCATGGACCAGTCATCCTTCCGATGGATCAGAGGAATCGATAACTCTTCTGCAACCCAAGTGTGCATCACCTTACTCGCTGTATGGTCGTTCGCTTTTTGATCAACCAGATAATTTGGACTCCCAGTCACTCAGATCAACAGACTTCCATTGCACGCCTAAAGCATTGACGCCTAGTCAATCGCTACGATTTGCCCGTGGAAGTAATGCCACAATTACTTGTGAATTTTTCGCGGACCCAAGTGCTACTGTGGTGTGGTATGGAAACGGAACGAAAATCCAAAATCGCCTGCCCCGATTGTTCGTGGAGCAAAGTCAGGGCAGAAGATTCCACACAAAGTTGGTTATTAAAGAAATACAGTCAAGTGATGCGGGTATATATGTTTGCTTCCTGGACACAGGATATGGGCGTGCAAACAGCACGTTTTTTGTACAAATCACTACAGAAGACTATTCAATAGCCACGTACATGTCAAATAGTTTGTTCCAGTGGTTCAGCGGTCTAGACACCAAGGCTGTTCTGAAGTACACAGGGATTTCTGTATCTTGTCTGGTAGTCTTGCTTATGCTTATCGGATTATTCGCATACTGTGTATATGGCAATCGCTTTTGTTCACGACGGAAAAATTCAGCTTCGGCCAACATCAGTAGAGCACACAACACTCCTGGTGTTGACGATAATACCGGTAAAATTAAGTCCACTGATTGTGCTCAGGAGACATTTGTCCACCATGTGGTCAAAAAACACGCGAATGTGCCCCGTGTTCCGCGTTCTACACTAGTGAGAAAAACATCACTAAAAGACAACCAAGAGTTAGTACCCACAGTTAACCGGTTGACTGAAATGCATTTGTTGCCGACATGTAAAAATTCGGACACCAAGTATGTGGCCTTTCATCTTGTCTCAAATGGTACGAATTCCAGCGTAAAACAAGAATGTGCCATACATAATTACGCCGTTATTCGATCAGTTGCACCAGAAGGCCTTATACTGCAAGATGAAATGGCCTCGACAGGTTTGCCAGTAGGCTGTCAGACAAGTGATATCAGTGAAGTTCATTCCCTTTTTCCTACTTTACAAAATCAATGTGACTCGTCGCTTCGGATGGTTAGTTCTCAAATTGCAGATGCTGACATTCATCGTATTGTCTCCGAATTCCAATCTCAAGAGTTGCTTAGAAAGCCAGATTCTCGGCAAATTGGACGAAAAGAAGGCAGCTACTCTCCATGTCCTTTACATGGTGATATGTATGCAACATTACAAAATACTGAACAGAAAGCCATAAATACCCAGACGAATAAGCTTATCACAACTGTACCAACTGGATTGCAATCAAGCTTCCAGAAACGTACACAAACTTTGCCAAACCGCAGCAAGATTAAGGCACGTGCTTCCGATTTGTCCAGTGAACAAAGTACAAAGAAAACTTCTTACACATTCGTCACCGCCTCGGAACTTAGCACCACAACGTTACAGCTGAACGGACATGCAGCAGATTAAACACTACAGCGTCTGCACTAAAACAGCTGTCTTTTTGTAGGTAACGCGAAAGCGCTGGTGTTCCACACTCTCCGTACACGGTACCCATGTAAATCAGATCCCATTTCTATTGTGAATTTTATGAATTTTTGCCTCTGTTTTTTCACAAGTAAGCATAGTTCTTGTTAGTGTATAAGGGATAAGTAAGTGAAAACATAATTCATCATCCTTATACTAAAACGGTAGTTTGTCAGGATATTATTAGTTGGGTTTGCCTGGCAACCAGTTGTCCAATGAACAATGATTAATCCAAGTGTACAAATTAATAGAACAGTATTTTGGGAATAGATTGCTCTCTCCTACTTACAAGGTTCAGCGCCGGCTTTTGCTTGTAAGATATCTGCATACTTGGGAAAGATCGGAATATGTATTATAATAGTCAATTACCTAAGAATGCTATCCTTGGAATTTATCATAATACGTATCCTGCAACAACGCTTAACTGTTAGTTTTCATCATTTCGACGATTTTACTTTACCACTGCGGAATCATTGCGTTGTTGGACAATAATTGTGTTAATAATGAAATACATTGAGATACAGCTGACATCGCATACATAAAAACGATCATTTAAGGTCTGTAGAACGTGATAACGACGTAGACGAACTCCTGTCTGCGGACATTTGATAACAACTACATTTAAAGAGAGCTCGCGCTCCGGCCTTAACGCACGTCCAGTAGGCTAGGAGTAACTGCCTAGCTAAAGAAAACTTGCTTTTAGTTTACTAGCATGTATCCCAAAGTTCATGCCTTAACAGGATAAGCGGATTTTGCACGGAGCTAAACTTTAGCCCTTCAGCAAATATTAAGAAACTAGTGCTGGATTTCAATTGTGAAGTGCAATTCCTCTATCAGGCATCTACTTAAGTTGTTAGTAGTTATCTGAAATTAAATTTCACAATCAGTGGTTGCAACCACTGTTTTAGTAGACAGTGTCGGGCAATGCATTTGTCTAAGCTAGACCTAGTCACGTAGAATAGCCAACATAGCTACTGGACATTCGAGATCACGTTTGGTAGTCATTTATAAGTCACTTTCAACTGAACTTTAGACTGCTAGACTGCCTGAACCTACAAAATACTTTGAAAGTAAGCGAGTCATTCACCTAGGAATGCTTACTTTGCCAAAGCAGTTAGTTCAGTTACTAAACCTAGGGTTGATGAAGCGCCCTATCCGCACTGTGGTTACTCTAAGCATTAGGTTAAAAAGTCACAGTTTTGCTGGTCTGCATATCTATTCGGCTTACAATTTGTTTTCTAAGCAGGAGTATAGCTAGGTGTCTGGAAGTGATGTTGGCAAAACAGCATATTTGTTGAAACAAATCATTTATTTAAATTATTTGGGTCTTACAGTGTGGTATTCAGACAATTAAAAACATCAGCGTTTTGTAAACGCTTTTGAAATTTCCCTAAATGTCATAATTTGCATATTTCGGCATCAAATTCAGCTGAACGTAACACGTATCGTCCATACAGGCACGTTTGCTTTCTCGCATTTAATGATAGGGTAAGTTTGATCAAGAGGCTTCCAAAGTATTCCAGTAATGTATTAAGCAGCAGGAAAAGACATTGTTGCAGTGTTTAAGTATGATTTTGTTAAACATTGTATAGCACAGCTAGTTTTTAACTAACCTGAAAATTGGAAACAGGCACGTAAAGTTTCCTCGCATGTACGTTCGATTACAAATATTTGGTGTATCACCATGCGCGCGGCCATCGCGGTTTGCTGACCTCAAACTGCCTGCAAGTTAAAGGGGGTTAGTGCAGTTGGTCTTTAAACAAGAGAATTCTATCATTATGTCATTTATAGAACGGTTGTCAAACAGGTCAATAAGGTATACTAAATACTGAGAAAATGCAGCGTTTATAGTAATCTCTGTGTAGCTACATCTAATATCGTTTAAGCAATGCTACCTATTATGACGGTTATTATTCTCTATATCTCAAGTAGGCAAAATGCGAGTTCAAGAGTTTCTTTAACTCCAGCAACGACTTTGCTTTGACTATGTCTGCAGGCAATTTCTTCAAAATATTCACCACCCTCCGATCGAAGCAGAGTCGATGGCCGACCCGCTTCAAATCCGGTACGACAAGCTTGTATCAGTGTCCTCGTGTGCTGCTTGATGTGCGCAGATGAATTAGCGGCCTCAACATGGGGTAATCACCCATATGTAATATCCGGTGCGTCATGATGACGTCAAGCCGCCTTCGACGATAAGACAACCCTAGTCTGGCGCACCCGTCTCCATATGACAAACCTTATAACCCGGAGATGAGAATTATGGTGACATGCTGTACCCGCTCAATCCTTTGCACCTAGTCCCGCTTGAGCGTTGGGTAGACAGGTGAGCTGTACTCAAGCATTTGTCTGATGATAGTAAAGAAGAGGAGGGTGGCAACCTGTTCAGACCAGGTGCATAACCTAGGTTTGAGCGCCCGGAGCATGCACAGTCCGTTTTAGTAAAGCCTGTTCATGTTTTCAACGGATTTCACATGGCTGCATGAGAGTACGCTGAGACCTTTCACATATGACGAGGAGTGTAACTTCGGCCGGCCAGATTATAGACTCGGCCATTGCCACCCCTGCCGAGGCTCATGAATACCGACTTGACCGGGTTGCTCGGAATATTAACCTTTGCTGACTACCTGGAGAGGTGGTCAAGGTCACGCTAAAGTAAGTCGCAGTATTTGGGAGCCTTAATTATCCTCCATATCTTTTCATCATCTGCACACAATGCTCAATGTGAACTTAGAAGCTGAGGCCAATCGTTAGTTTGGATCAGGAACAAAATGGGCCCAAGGTCCTTGTCCTGCGGAGGCCACTGTTCGAGGAATACCACTCGGTCAGTTGGTTGTCTACCTGCACCCTCCACCTCCGACCAACAAATAAGTCACCGATCCACTAGTGCAGTGGGCCACCGACACCGCAGTTGTTTAGCCTCCGAAGGATGATTCCATGGTTCACATTATCAAACGCCTTACTGTAATCGATGTAAACGAAGTCAACCGACATCCCTTGGGTTAGCGATTACCACCATTCGTGCATCGAGAGCAGCAGGTATGTGACCCATGACCGACCTTTCATGAAACCATGCTGTGCTGGCTACATGATGCTTTTTGACTCGAGATTATGCAAAAGACCACGCTTCACGATCTTTTCGATTGTCTTAGTGAAAACAGAGGTCAGGCGCATCGGATGGTAGCTGTCCACCTTGCTCGGATCTCCATCTTTCGGAAGCGGTTTTACCAATGAGCATTTCCAGTCGCTCGGCAATGAACCGGCTGACAGCGATCTGTTAAATAACTCTGTCACCGAAGGTGATACGATGGTTGATAGCGAGTTGAGGGTCAGCCAATAGAGCCCACCACGCCCGGGAGGCTTGGTACCGTCAAGACTGGCGAGCAATTCGCGCACATCCTCAACGCTGCCATCCAGGTTCTCCAGCTCTCTAGAGGCGATTTATGTCAAACTTGGTACGGGAACCTGGTTACCTGTAAAACCGGAAGAGAAGCGCGCCACCAATGAGGAAGCACGCTCAGTGTTGAAAACTAGTGACTATCCTTCCGAGCTCTCTAACCCAGGCATATCACTTGTCGGATTCAAGCTTCGCTTCGTGTATGCAAAGCTCCTCTTGGGAACTGTTTTTGCTGCAGTTGCAGGATGCACTTCGAAGCTTCGGCATTTGCTCGTTTTTGCGCTGTTGCAAGTGTTTTGTTGCCTCTTCTACGCTTCGTCAGCTGCTGCAGGGACAACTTGTACGAATTTATTCCATAGTCGGCGTCGCCGTCGAGCCAGTTTGCCATACTCATGGTCAAACCAGTGTGGCTTGATTAGTGCAACCTTCGATATTTGAGGGGCACAAATCATATCAAAACGAATCAAATCGCATAATGATTGCACTCCCTCTTTTATGATAGACCAACAGGCAGCAACTGATGAATCCTGTGGTAGTGACCAATCCATGATGTTGGCGCCTTGAGTGTTGCCATTATTGTCCATCTCCAATAGTTGTAAACTGGCTCCAGTGGAGGAATAAACGACACTTGCAGCTCTATGCTTGCCATGACCATCGAGTGATCACTAGCTGCCAATGGCTTTAGGAGTTAAACATCACGCACATGTTGATCATAGCTGGTCAGCAACAGATCTAGGCACGATGGAGTTGAGCTCGCGATAACGCGCGTCCGCTGAATGATATGCTGTGTGGACTCAGTTTCAAACGTCATCTCCGCAAACTTCCTCCCGACTTCGCAGTGACGGGGAAGAAGCTCGACCTCGGGCCACCGTATTCCAGAAACGTTGAAATCGCTCAAGAGCAGGAATTGCGGACGACTCATTTGGTTGCGTACATGGGGTAACCAGTCCAAGCTGTGACTCAGTTGACTGCTACACACAGCACCCACCAGTAGTTTGCAGCCTCTCAGGTGGATCGAACACAATAGCTGCTCACACAGGTCATTACCGCTTCTGTAGACGTTCACGAGTGTCCGCAAAAGGAAGATCGTATGTATGGCAACACTCCACCGCGATCATTTTATAGCTTATCATAACGAAAGCAGGAATACCCACTGATTTCGATTTCTTGAGCGGTTGTCTCTGAATTTAACCAAGTTTCAGCTAGGCCCAATACTTCTGGCTTCCGAGAGGCAACAAAATGGCAAACGTCGTCACGTTTGTTTATTAGACTACAAACAAAAGGTTACACGCAGGCAGCGGAAGGAACTGTGGGGAGTGCATGAAGGATAAGCGTGCATTTCTTCGGGATTCGGGGAGGAATCCAGGTAACTATTCGAAAATTTACAATGCGGTGATACTTTCCCCGGCAGCAGTGTGCCGCTTTAGTTAAAGCACGGCAGACTTGATATTTTCTCGGTCGGTTGGATCCAAGTCTGCGTGCACATGGATATTCAAACCCTTAAGTCACCCTGGATTGACCCACATGAATCGAAGATTTTCCTTCGTTTGCTTTCTTAGAAAGGGCAATTTTCGGCATGTTTAGCCCATCTTCACCGACGTCGAGCAGTCTATCTACCAGACTCTGCAGAAAAGCTACCTAGTTTTCATAGCTTAACTGAAGGCCTGAATCCGACGATTCGGGTGCGTTGAA